TTGATGGACTCAAGTGTGGCAGCGGTAGTGAGGTTGGCCCAGGATCGGACATTGTTTTGTTCTTCTGTGCATGGGGTTGCTATGAGTCGGTTCTGACTCAATGGGACCTGACAACAAAAACAAAATAACACGGAGGCCCTTGCCAAGGGTCTGTTTCGTACTCGTTGGATTTGAGCCCATAAGAAGAACTACACCAGATATAAACACTTAGAGGCATACTGAGCTTTTGAGCACCACCTGGTTTCTGAACAAAACACTAATCCGAGGGGGCGTCAGAAAGTCTGTGGAAAAGTTCCATTAGCTTTTAATTCCATTTTTGGCTTGAACTTTTGGAAGGCCCTCGTATGTCATTCCTGAAGGACCTTGAAGTCAGTGTGAAAAGCTCGTTTCCAAGTTGCCCAGATGTTTGGTGATGAGCCCTGGTCCATGGGACAGCCCTCTGGGGCATCCTTGGTGACCATGATCAGGACCAGATGGGCACGGAGCTGGGGAGAGGCAGGTGACACCCCCAACGAGCTGAACTTCGAGAAACTCCGTACCACTTGGTTTCCTTACAGGGTTCCTTGGTGGCGGATGTTGAGATGAAGATTGGTTCTGTTCGAGGTTCTAAAACCCCAAGGCAAACTTGCTGCCGTGGAGTCAGTTCCAACTCACAGAGGCCATATAGGACAGGCAGACTGCTTCATTGTTCTCCCAGGGAACCACTGGTGGGTTCGAACAACTGACCTTTTGGTTTGCAGTGAAGTGCTTTAACCACTGCAACACGAGGGCTCCTAACGGACCTGAAGAATAACAGTCACCCCAAGACAACTCTTACAGTATCAGCAGTAGATTCGCCATGGGGCCAGTCCCGGTTCTTTGCTTCACATAGGCTGTCTTCACTGGGTGTCTTGGAGGCGCTTCCGACTCATAAAGAACCACCTTATGCACAACACAGCCAGACACTGCCCTTGATCCTGCGTCATCTTCACAAACATTGTTAGACTTGTTGGTGTTGTTAGGTGCCATCGAGTTGGTACCGACTCATAGCGACCCTATGCACAACAGAACAAAATACTGCCCGGTCCTGGGCCAGCCTCAGCATTGTTGCCATGCTTGAGCCCATGGATACTGCCACTTTGCCAATCCATCTCACTGGGGGTCTTCCTCTTTTTCTCTGACCCTCCACTTTACCACACATGATATCTTACACACTTTCAATTAAAGATTGATACACGGTTTTGGCCCCATAAAACCAGAGCCTAGCTTTAAGGTTCTGTTCTAAACAGCACCATTTTTTTTTAAAAGCAAAGAGTCACATTAAGCATAATGCAAGCATGCCTTGTCTAATTGCACTTTGTTGCTGTTGTTAAGTTGGTTCCAACTCAGAGTAACCCTGTTAAGTATTTCCAGAAAAGCAACTGGAGGATTTGAATCATCAACCTTGAGATGCACAGTCTAGTTCTTATCCAACAGTGCCAAACTACACCTAACTTTGCAAACACTGAGTTGTTTTGTACAGAGAAGGTTTGTGCCAAGCCTGTGTTGAATGAAATATTGGCGCCGTTTTCCCAACAACATGTGTTCACTTTGTGCCCCGTCCTGGTCATTCTCACACGATTTCAAACTCTGCACACGAACACTTTTTGCACACTTCATAGTGTTTTTACATGCACAGGAAACAAAAAATATTGTGCAACCTCGCTGGAACCGAGCCCACAATAGACTGAGACACATGTAGGCCTCAGGTGGTCCACTCAGGCAGGCTTGTTTGCGGGGTGACCAGAGTTGAGGGCAGACAGCCATGTGGACCACTTGTGGGTAAGGAAGGTTAACTAACCTGTGACTCCCGCTCATTCTTGGCTAGGAGATTTGAATGTTCAAAAGACAATTTCATCTTTGCAGTTAGGACCACGGCGGTTCCGTTTTCTGGTGTGTCCCGGAAACCCCACCAAAACAGTAGACCACTTGTGATTTGAATACTTGGATACCTACCCAACCATAGGAGATGGTTGTTGTTGGTGTGAAGTATCGTTGAGTCGGTTCCGACCCATAGCGACCCCATATAGGGTTTCTGAGGAGCAGCTGGTGAGCTTGAACTGCCGACCTTGCAGTTCAAATGGCTTTGCAGTCTGGCGCATTAACCCACAGCGCCACACCAGGACTCCTTAAATCCACCCCATCCTTCTCCATCATCCTTGTTCCGGGATTCCAGCTTTGCTCCTTCTCCTATGCGATTTATGAAATACATTCCTAAAGCTGTAATCATGTCCATTTTAAATAAAACTGTGAGACAGTATCAGAAGTTTCTCTTCCCTCCCCTTTGCCTTTTTGTTTTTTAGCCTGAACCAGTACTTCACAAAGGTGCTGGCATTTCTGTGTTTGTATTTTTCGACAAAGCAGGAAGGCATTGGGGTGGGGAGAGTGGGGTGTGTCGGTTCTCAGCTGTAGGCAAGTGTTTGTCCTGGAAACCTGGATTGAAAGAGCCAGGGGTCACGCTGGGGTCACTCAGGGACATCAGGAAGTGCTCAGAGCTAATCCCAATTTACTCCTAGAAGACTTTGTTTGCCTAAGAATCAAAAAACGGCTTAGGCTAACCTGACACTAGATTACCAGGGGAAGTGTCAACACCAGGGAAAAGGGGACAACAAGGAACCGTGTCCTGGAAAATACAGCCGGTGTGCCTCGCTAATGGTGCCCCTGAAGAGAACGTGGACTTGGGGGCACAGTGCTTCTGCCCAGGCCTCTCCCCCTCCCCTCCGGGGGACACCCCCAATCTCAAGAGCCACTTGCCAACATCTCACTTGGGTCTTTAAAAGCAGACACAGAGGGTTATTGGCTTGCTCTCACTGGTTCTCCATCCATCCTTCTTTGAGACCCAACGGACAGTCCCGAGCCAGAGACCCCATCCTTGGAATCTTCCTGGGAACACACACTACTACGGGCTGCTCTCAACCCCCTCTTCGCTTCTCCCCTTCCCCTCCCGCCTTTTCTTTCTCTTGCTCCCTTTCTTGTCCTCTTTCTGTCTCTCCTTTTTTCTTTTACTCTTATATCCTCTCTTCCATCCACCTCTCCTCTTCTCTCTCCCTGCTCCCTGATCATCCTTCTGCAGATGTGCCTTTCCCTATCACACCCCAGGGCAGGGAGGGGGCTCTCTGTTAGCACACTTGCCAGCTGTCAAGGGGTGGCCCCCAGCCAGCACCCACTTCTAACTCCTGTGGCCCCCAGCTCTGGCCTCCAGCTGCTGTCTTGTTTCCTGACTGTAAGGCTTTCTTGGTCGGGTAAGGAATTGTGGTAGCTTACCACCTCCACGGCTGTCTTTCTCAAGTCTCCAGAAAAATGATGGGTGGGTTATGCATTGTCTAAAGCTCAGTCGGTATCTCTGTCCAAGCCTTCCTCTGGGATTCTGCCCTCTCGCATCTGGGTATAAAACTCACACTTCAACTGGAGATGTTCAGAGACCTTGGGGAGTTCACACACGTGTACACACACACACACACACACACACACGGAACAAACTCCCCAGTTCTCCTCCCATCTGGACTCTGGCCAAGCATGTTGGTAAAGCTGACCTTGTGGTCTGCGCACTCCCACGCAGCTGGCTACCACCCTAGGGCAACTCTCCCGGGGCCCGTGCAGTGGAGACCGAGGGCCCAGGTCTGGGGCACTTTTACGGGGTCCGAGACCCCTCCAGGCTGTGAGTCAGGCAGGATGGTGCTGGTGATGGTGGTCCAATCAGCCGTGGTCTCCCTGTGTCCCCGAGCCTTCAGTTGACCACACCTGCCTGGTGTCTCCACAGGGAGGAGAAGGAACAGTGGATCCGGGCCAAGTACGATCAGAAGCTCTTCCTGGCTCCGCTGCCATGCTCTGAGCTGTCCTTGGGCCAGCACCTGCTACGGGCCACCGCCGACGAGGACCTGCGGATGGTCATCCTGCTGCTGGCACATGGCTCCCGGGATGAGGTGAACGAGACGTGTGGTGAGGGGGACGGCCGCACAGCCCTGCACCTGGCCTGCCGGAAAGGCAACGTGGTCCTGCTGCAGCTCCTCATTTGGGTAGGTGGCTCTTCCCCCAGTCACCCCTTGGACCCACCCACCGGGACCCCAACTGGGCCCTCACCTGGCGTTCTACCTGGGCCCATACCTGGCTTCCCATCTGGACCCACACCTGGCCTCCTATCCAGACTTCACCTGGGCCCACACTTGGCCTCCCTTCTGGACCCTCACCTGGGTCCTCAGCTGGCCTCCTAGCCAGACTTCAGCTTGGCCTGCACCTGGTCTCCCATCTGTGCTTCACCTGGCCTTCCACCTAGGCCTCACCTGGGCCCTTACCTGGGCCCTCACCTGGCCTCCCACCTGGACCCTCACCTGGGCCCACACCTGGCCTCCCACCTGGGCCTCACTGGGTCCTCACCTGGCCTCCACTGGGGCCTCCACATGACCCAGCAGAGAACCAGTTAGGTCTGCTTCCTCAGCATCTTGTTGATCGAAGGCTGTCTTTGTCAGAATTCTCCAGGAAAACAGGGTCAAAAGAAGGAGCCCTGGTGGCACAGTGGATTAAGTGCTGGGCTGCTAACTGAACGGTTGGTAGTTTGAACCCACCAGGTGCTTTTTGGGAGAGAAAGATGTGATTGTGTGCGTGCATACAGATAATGTAGCCTTGGAAACCGTATGCTGTTATTATTAAGCGCCATTGAGTAAGTTCCAACTCATAAAGACCCCGTTTAGGGTTTCCGAGGAGCAGCTGGTGAGCTTGAACTGCCGACCTTGTCATTAGTAGTCCAGTGCTTATCCTAAAGCACTACACCGAGGTCTACAAGTCATAATTGACTCGGTAACAGTGAGTTTGTTTTGGGGGGTTTGGTTGAGTCATAAAGTGGAACTACCAAGGTTTTAGTTCTGAGGTGTGCAGGCTTATTCCAAACAAAACACTTCTCAATGTGCCTCTGCCATCGGAATGGTGCAGGCAAGTTCAGTCAAATGAGGATGCTTCAGAAAGTTTGTGGGAAAATGGAGTTAAAAGATAATGGAATTTCCCACAAACTTGTAAAGGGACTTACTATGAAGATGCATGTAAGAAAATGGAAAAGTGCTTTTAGCAAAGGGCTGGGACACTTGCACCTGGGAATTGTTTTCCATCCTGACAATGTACCTGCTCCTTAGAAGACAGCAAGGACAATTGTCGGAGACTTTCATTGGGAAATTTGGCCCCAGACCCTCCAGCCCTGCTCCTACCCCTTCAGACATTGTTTTGTTCCCAAAATCCAAGGAACCGAGAATTTGAGTCTGTTGATGATGGGCAAACAGCAGCTTTGACATGGTGTAAATCAAAGCATGCAGAGTTCTTCAGAGAGAATTAGAGATGGACCTTTATGGAGGAAAACTCGAAAAACTATAGCTTCACATTTTGATATTTTTGTTTCAAAGAGGTTTCTGTGATATGTCCTTCCTCTTCTCTTCCCCTCCCGTCTCCCCCTCCCTCCTCTCCCACTCTTTCCCTCTCCCTCCCCTCCTCTCCCTCCCTCCTCTCCCCCTTATGTCCCCCTCCCTCTCCCTC